TTTAAGAACAAATTAAAATAATATTGGCACTGAAGAAAATCACGATCGGCAAAATATTAGTAAGAAGAAATGGGGGTAATTATTCACTATAGGGGAGTCAGCTCCAATGACCTTGACCTTGACATATGTTGTCAAGGTTACTCTCCTGAGTAACGCTCAGAAGGTTTTAGCCGTCGCTCGTTGTTTGTTAAAAAGTTATTAAAAAAACAATGTCGACCAATTATATGTAATTTTCAGAAACAAATATTAAAAATTTTGAAAAATGTTTTAAACAAAAGTTGTAGATTTCTTTAAAATATATGTTTTATGTCCTATTCATTTTTACTCTACGAGTGATAGTTTTCGAGAAAAATGATGGACTCTAAATCTTATATCTGTGCCCTCATTGCATCTAAGCATGCGCTTTGTAACATATACGATTCCACATGGGTTTGCGACTTTCCACGTGAAGCGAGATCCGCACCACACCTCGGACATAGTGTGGGTAGGGTTATATCTTAACGAGGTGGAGCCCCCCCGTAGGGGGGACGGAACGTACTGCCTCCATGCATGTACTTCCATGAAGTACGACTGATGGAGATGGGAGGAGAGATATAAGATTTAGAGTCCATCATTTTTTTCAAAAACTATTACTCGCACAGTAAAAATGAATAGGACATAAAATGTATATTTCAAAGAGATCTACAACTTTTGTTTAAAACATTTTTCAAAATTGTTAATATTTGTGTCTGAAAATTACATATAATTGGTCGACATTGTTTTTTTAATAACTTGTTAACAAACAACGAGCGACGGCTAAAACCTTCTGAGCGTTACTTAGGAGGGTTGACAACCTTGACAACATATGTCAAGGTCAAGGTCATCGGAGCTGACTCCCCTATAGTGAATATTTACCGAAATGGGATTTTATTGTCTACTGTGTGGCAATCGGAATAAAACCGTTTCATATCACCGGTAAGGAAATTTATGTTATTTTTGTACAGGTTATGTATGTTTCAGAATACATACCTTTATTGTGAAATTAAATAGTTTTGGTATTGAAAATAAAAATGCTTATATATTTTTACAGGTTTCCGAAGGATAAACACAGCAGAGAAAAATGGTTATCTTTCTGTGGAATCAGGGAGGAGGAACTCAGTACTGCTACCTTCCTATGTTCCAATCATTTTAAGGAAGAGGATTTAAGGAAGAAACTGAATTGTCTAATTGTAAATCCTGGAGCAATACCATCCATTACAAAAAAAAGAAAGAAAGGGTACGTTTTAAAGATTTTAGTAAAAATAATGTATGTTTGTATGTGCCTAACTGTCACGTGTCACGAATGTACAATTATAAAATAAAAATTAATTGATCGATTATATATGTTTATCGAATATGTCTGTAATGCGATTCTTATTGTAGTAATAAGCATTTGTAACGAAGCTCAACTCTTCCCGGTTCTGGATTTCGGACAGGACTCCGAAGGATGTTATTACTTCGGGATATTTAAACGGAAATTAATCAGACGCGCGGTTCTGATTAACGGGTGGAAGAGTTAGCGTTCTAATTTCGGTGTTGACGTGCTGTGTGTCGGCAAAATAAATCCTCCGTTCCTCCTATTTGCCGAATATGCTCAGCTCCAGGGCCGTCGGGAGGAAAAGAGGAATAGATCTTAATTACTAGTGAGGTAAATCGCTTGGAAGGATCGGAAATAAATCGGACAAGTGTCTAATTAAGTTAAAAACGATAGGAACGAGGTTTATTCAAGGATTTGATACATGGAATCGAGGTAGTTACAATGGGTACGCCCTGTGATAAAATACAAAGGAAAAGAAAAGGATTAGTTGATTTACAATGGGTACGCCCTGTGATAAAATACAAGAAAAGAAAGGAATATGATTAGTCGGATTATGCCGATGTACAGGAAGTACGCGGCCGGACTCGGCGGATTAATCGAAGTTTTACAGGAAATGCCGCTGGATTATAAAATACAGGAACCGAAAGGATTAATTACATCGAATGCAGTGTACAAATACTCACTACGGAATAAACGAGAAACGCAAGTGTCGCGGTATTGTATATACGTAAGTGGAACAGACATAACACAAAACTCAAAGTAATGTACCGGAATACTGAACGAGTAATTAATATTGATAAAGATATATACATGGTCTGTCCTTAAAGTAGTCGGACTGAATTAATTAAAAAATATTTATTGACAGGAATAATATATGAACTCAATAATCTTCGAAGTAGGACCCTTCTGCATCCACACACCGCTGCCAGCGAGACTTCCAGCTCTCATATGCTTCCTGGAAGGCTGCAGCCGGAATGCTGTTGAGCTCCCTCGTCACGGCCTGTTTTAATGCTTCCACCGAGCCGTGATGGTGTCCTTTCAGGGCGGTTTTGAGGCGGGGGAAGAGGAAAAAGTCTGGTGGGGCAAC